AAATATTGATAATTTTTGAAAAATATGAAAAACTAAAAAAAAATATTTTTTATAACAAATTTTAATTGTTCCTATAAAGCTTATATATATAAATATAAGCTTTTTATTTATTATTACATTAGGTTATTAAGAATTACCCATATTCTTTAAAACGTCTCTTTTGTTGGAATGCGATAAAAGTATAAAAATTTTGAATACATAACTTCCAAATTTCGAAAATTCATTCTAGATCGTTTCCCAGTGCATATATCAAGAGCATGCAACAGACGTAAGTCATGTATTCCAACGATTACAACAAGTCATGTTATTTACGTTGCTAACGCAATTAATTATTATATTAGTTTTTGTTTTGTATTTTTTAAAGGCTGACACATTAGTGATTTTTATACTATGTGAAAAAATAAGTGACAAAAAAACACTCCTTTTAATTTAGAAATTATAAATTTTTTGCTTTATTGAAATAATTTTTAAAAATGTCAATTGCGAAAATTACTTAACCGTCATAAATGTACAGATGATAATCATTTGCAAAATTAAGCGAGTGACGTGACTAATATGATCATCAAATGTTTGACATATTGTACTGGAAAACAATATGAAAACTAGATATTTGGAAAACTACAATCCCATTACTTAAATAAATGCACCCACCACTCTGGACAATATGGACAATATACATAAAATATTTGTATGTTATAACAGGTATAATTTTATACAACATGGTTTGTATTAAAAAAATTTATAAAAAACTTATTTTTATCACAAAATTTTTTTTTATGAAAAAATTAGACTATTTTAGTTATTTAATATTTTACCACCCTCAGTTCAACTAAATGGTTATGATTTTAGTTTTAAATTTGAATGGTACGAAATTGTATAAGAAGGGTAAAAGAACAAAGTATATAAGCATGTAGTGTATGCACTAATGTAGATTAAGAAAGGAAAATTTTTACAAATGAATTTTTCTTGAAAACATTTTCAGTGGTATTATAAAAAAGTCAAGGAAATTTTGTTTTTTTTTTTTTTCTTAAAAAAGATATGTTTAAAGTTGGATTTGCTAAATTGAATTTTTCTGATGTTTTCGAGGTTATTATTTTATTATTTTTTATTTTGTTATATTTTTTTTTTGTACTTTTGTAACATTTTATAAAATAATTAGGGATGTTAAGGAGTTTGATAGTTTGTAAAATGAAATTTCATTTAATATTGCATAATTTTAGGGATATTGGAAAATTTCGTATGAATACAAACAAAAACGTAGATTTAACTAACGGATAATTAAAATTCTAACATATTTTTATAAATACATATTTTCATATACATACATATACATACATATATATAAATAAGAATATAATATTATGAATATGTGGGTGAAGGGGGGGGGGGGGGTAAAAACTGATTTTTCAAAATGATTTGGTTTTTTGTTGAAATTTATAAATTGTAAATGTTTTTTAAAATGTTTTTTTTTTGAGTAAAATTTGTGTTTTTCTTTTTAAATTAATTTAAAGAATTTATTAAGTTTATTTTCTCTTTTACTTTTGGTTTATTTTTTGTCTCTTTATATTTTTCTTATAAAAAATTTTTCATGATATTTTAAATTTTATTGTAATTTTAATATTAAATCGTTTATTTTGTATTATAAGTTTTTATTTTATTCATTTATTTTTTATATTATATTATTAATAAAAAAATTTAATAGAAAAAGGAGAATGAAAGTACGCATATTTTTTAGAAAAGGAGAAAAAGGGAAAATATAGAAAAAACATTGCAATACAAATAATTTTTATATTTTTTATTTTTAAAGAGAAAACGGCATTTTCCTAAAATAAATATCAAAAATATCAAATAAAAAACAAGTTTTTATAACAAAATTAATATAATCACTCATATATTAGTGGAATGACTTGACGTTATGGGTTATTATTCAAAAATTCTGAAATTTTCTAAACAAAATCAATCATGAAATTTGAAGTTCTATACTGAAAATAAAAATTCTTTTCAGTAATATCCAATCACTCTATGTGATTCGACTAACAGAATAGGTATGCGTGAACGTGTATTGTCGTCTTTTCAAACTTAAAAAAAACAACGAGTGTACAGAAATTATAGATGAATTATTCAAATTGAAAAATTTATTAATTTTGTTTTGTTTTTTTTTTTTGCATCATAAACGCAAGCTAATGCACAAAGTATCTTTCAAAGTATCATTTGAATTTCAATTGATTCTTCAATTCTGTGCATATATATGCAACAATTGACTAAAGTTATAACTGTAACACTACTATATTATGTTTAACCACAATCTATCTGTACATTTTACACACGTAACAATCTATATATTGAACTTTGAATTTTTGCAGATTTTTGTGTATATAAAATGCTGAACTCTAAAATTTGCTGTATTGCGATATGTCTGTACAATTGAAGTTAGGAAAAAAATACATTTCTCAAATTTTGTATGAGTACAAGATCGTGTCAGTACAAGATTTCCAGTAATACGCAGTGTCAATGCAAAAAGTGGTAATATCTTGTTAAAAAAGTACTTGTTTTTATAAATGAAATTATTTGTTAATTAAATTTGATATTTTGATATACTTTATAGTCGTTTCCCATTTCTTTTTTGGTTTCTTTTTAAAACGTATAAGTTAGACACAAAAATTAAAAAAAAAATTAATTTTATTATAAATTTATTAAGCATACCATATTCTCTATGTGTATATATATACATATATATATATAATATACATAAAATGTATATAATATAAACATATATATCATTTAATAATATATATATAATTAATGTATATATATATTATATAAATATAAATGATATATATATATATGTATCATTTATATTTATTTATATAAAATATATATACATATATATAAAATATATATATGAGGTATATATATGTAATATATATATGTATATACATACTACATATATAAGATATATATATATATATATATATATATATATATATATGTATATATATATGTATATATATTCATATATTTATATGCATGTTTTGATATTTTTATATTTTATTAAGCAAAGCTAGATAGAAAATTTTTTTCCTTGATATATATATATTTGTTATACATATATATTATATATAACAATTATATATATATAGTTTGCATTTCTTTTACAGATTTTTAATAGTATTTTTAACTACAGTAAAGATTTTTTTTTTATTTTTTATTTTGTTTATTCTATCAGTAATTAATAACCTTACGTTTTTTTTATTTTACAATTTTATCTTAATGTTTTATTTAGTAAAATTGCTAACTTTTGTTAGTAAAATTGTATTTTTTTTTTCAACACAATTTTACATCATTGTCTTTGGATATGTGGTCACCAAATATATTATCATATATATATAAAAAAAAAAACAGACTAAAATTTTTCATTTTATATTTTGAAAAGAGGTAAAGAAAACATATTTCAATAAATTTTAATAAGTTCAATAATGGAAATATGAAAAATTATAAAAAATTGATGATTTGCGGATACACGCATAGAAAACTAGAAAAAGTTTTTGGAAAAATTTTAAATAAAATAATATTGTAAGATGGAAACTGTAGTTTTTTATTAAACATTTGCAGTAAATATTTGAAAATTGAATTATTTGTTTATTGTTTACTAAAGTGGATGATTTCAAAAATGCAGTATAAAAAAATTTACTCCATTGTAAAAATTTTTTTAGTTATGATTTTCAAAAACAATAAATTTTTATGATAACAAACAAATTTCGAAATTAAATATTACAATAAAATATTTTTAATTTAATAGGAGATTGAAAAATATTTTCTATTTTTAAGACTATTAATAAAACTGTGTTGCAAAATTAACCTAACTGAAATTAAAGTAGTGAACAAGGCATTTTAAATTTTCTTATCAACGATAAATTTGATTTTCTGTCAAATTTTATGAAAAGAAGAGCTAAATCACTAAAATTTTGTGTTCTTATTAGAAATATGCGCTCATTTATGCCAAACATTTTTGCACAACATTATGTATACAAACGTCAAAAACTTTTGAAAAACATTTTTTGAATATAATATTGTAAAATTTCACGTTTCTACTGCAATTTTGAAAACAGGAATTTATGCAAATAAAATTTGATTAGCAAAATATCATAGCCAAACAATTACTGCTTTTAATTAAATATTTTTGTAAAAACATTTAGACTTAGTTGATGACATAACGAAATGTCTGTACCCATTTTAGAATTAAATTATTGAATTAAAAAGTATAAATAATTGAATAATTATTATAAGTATGTAGATATGTAGACAATCTACATAATATTTAAAAAGAAAAGGTGTTTCCATTTATTTGGAAGAAGCCGATTTTGAACTTTCATATATTGTATAAATTAATTTTGTAAAATATTTTCTGTTTTATTTTAAATGTAAAATTAAATGAAAACTTTTAATGTTATAATTATGTTAAATATATGTAGTTTTGTTTGTATTCAAATATATTATGTAATTTATGTATAATTTTCGCAATTCTTTTGTTGTGAATTTTTGATAATTTGAGAAAATATGAGAAATTTGAAAAGCATAATACGAAATATTGAGATTTTTTTAGAAAATTTTTACAACTTTTTGAAGATATTTTTTTTTTTCATTATTTTTGCATTCTTTTTCCTTTTTTATTACTTTTTTTTTTGTTTTTGAAATTTTGATATTATTACACATGTATATTATGTTGTATAGGTAAGATATATACATATATATATATTTTTTTTTATTGCATATTGTTGTGTCTTGTTCAAATGTATGAAGTTTTAATTTAGTAGTAAATATATTTTTTATTTATATCTATTTAGACATATATATATATTATAGATATATTTAATATATATATATATATATATATTTGATAATATTGTTTCCAAAATTTATCTATTTATTTATTTTTTTTTTTAAATTATCTATTACAGTATATTGTGTCGCATCTATTAATTTATGTAAATAGGTTTGCAATATATATATATTATATTTTTATATATATATATATATATATATATATATATATATATATATTAATCATTTGTATATATGTATGTTTATTTAAAACTTCCTTTAAAATAAAGAAAGTATTTATTATTGTTATTATTTTATTTATGTTTTAATTTTTATTATTTTTTTTTTGTTTGTTTTTGTCTTTGAACGAGGGAAAGGTTCCTTGTGCTGTCTATATATGCAAATTTTCAATTTCAGTTATTTTTATTTATTTGTTAATTTTTTTTTATTTTGTTTTTAATAATAGTGTGATTTTTTTATTATTATTTTTTTTTTGTTTTTCAAATACATTTTTTATCTACTATGGTTTGTTGTTTTTTTTTTTGTTTTTTTTTATACTTTTTATATTTGATCAATTTATTTAATTAATTAGAGACTTAATTATTATGATATTTTAAGTACGATTTTTTTTACTTTCTTGTAATATTTATTTATAATAATAATTTTTTTTTGTTTTTTTTTTTGTAATTTCAATATTTTTTTTAATTAATTTTTAATTTAATAATTTATTATATATAAATGGTCAACGACAACAGCAGAAAATATGTGCGTAACAAAAATAAACAAATCAATATTTTATTCATTATCGATTTTTTATCATAATAATGTACATAACTATAAATATATCATTATTGTATTTTATTTTATTTATTTATTTTTTCTTTTGAATTTATTTATATATATATACATATATATATATTTTTTAAAATATTTTTCATCTTTTTTTGTATTGGTTTCTGTTATATAATTTTAATTTATTATCAATATAATAAAAATGTATATTATAATAATAATAATAAATATTACTATTATAATATATAACAAAATTTTCAATAGCAAACATTAACAGTATATTGATTATAATAATAATAATAATAAATTTAATAATAATATAATTAATAATTATTATTGGTGGGCTACTACATGGCCAGGGTTATTTACCACCAAAACCAAATCTTCCAAAAATTGAGTCTTTTGCTTTTGATAACATATCACCACCAGGTACTGCTGACGCTGCTGCTGATAATGTTCCCATAAGGCCGCCACCACCAGATGGTGGAGGCTGTTGTGGTTGTTGTGGTTGTTGTCCTGGCTGTTGTCCCGGTTGCTGTTGTTGTTGTTGCTGCTGTTGTTGCTGCTGCTGTTGTTGTTGTCCACCACCACCAAATAAACTACCAAGACCAAGACCAGAAGACTGCTGTTGTTGTGGCTGTTGCTGTTGCTGCATCGGCTGCGTACCTTGTTGGGGGGCTGCTTGTTGAGGTTGTTTACTTCCAAGAAGACCCCCTGTAGCAGCCTTTGTAGCACCAGAAAGTAAACTAGTAGCACCTGAAAATAGTCCCCCGGATGATTGTGTCGTTACTGGTGGTTGTTGTGGTTGTTGCTGTTGTTGTTGTTGCTGTTGGGGCATCATACCTGGCTGTTGCATCATACCAGGTTGCTGTTGTTGTGTCATACCTGGTTGTTGCATCATGCCAGGTTGTTGCATCATTCCAGGTTGTTGCTGTTGTTGTTGCATCATACCGGGTTGTTGCTGTTGTTGTTGTTGTTGTGGCATCATACCAGGCTGTTGTTGTTGTTGTGGCATCATGCCAGGCTGTTGCTGTTGTTGTTGTGGCATCATACCGGGTTGTTGTTGTTGTTGTTGTGGCATCATACCAGGTTGTTGTTGTTGTTGTGTTTGCATCATACCAGGTTGCTGTTGTTGCATCATACCTGGTTGTTGCATTCCCATATTACCACCTATTCCTGTTTTCCCCTGCATCCCCTATAGGAAATGTATTAATAAGCGTTATTATTGATTATAGTAGAAAACGGAAACCAAAATTAAATAAATAAAAAAGTTAAATAAAAACCCCACCGCCCCACTCATTTTCATTTAACAACAATTTTTCAATTTTTTTATTTTTATTTTTTTTTTTTTTTTTGTATAAATTTACTTTCTTATTTATTTAAATATTGTTAAAAAAAATATTTAATAAAATGAGTAATTATTTAAAAAAAGTTTTAAATTTAATAAAAAAATTTCATTTTGAATATATGAAAAAATTTCCGTCAGCTAAGTATTTAAATATTTAAGATTAAAAAAACTTTTCAAGAATGGATTGAATATGCAAAATTTGTGTTCTGTATATAAATATTAGAAAATTATAACTATAAAAATATTTAAATGTATAATAATGTTATAAAATTAAATATGTAAAAATAAATAAATGAAAATAATTAACAACTTCAATTTAAATATGACAAAATGTATTGTAAAAATTATGAGCTATAACTGAATGATATTAAAGAGGAAGTATTATTATATAATATAAAATTATTTTACTAAACAAAAAATTAAAAAAAAAAAATAAATAAATAAATTTGTACGAACTAGCAATATTATAATTTAATCAAATAAAAACTTCATAAATATTTTATTAATTTATTAAACTATCATACAGACTGTTTGCAAAATATTTTTATATAATTTGAGATTAAGTAATTTTTTAATAAAATATTTCTTAATAAAAATATTATTATTTATAATTTTAAATTTTGGCTTATAAATTATTAATTCTACATTTTTTTATTTTTAATTAAAAATATAAAATTCTCGTTTTTACATAATAGTTTTACTCAAATTATATTTCACTCCCGCAATATAGGTGTGATTATTACAAAAATAATTTTTATGGAAATTTTTGAATCAAATTAATCCGTAATTGGATTTTATTTTTATGTGCCGATGAATTAAATAAAATTATGTATAAACTTTAAAATAAAAAAAAACATTACAACAATAATAATTAGTAAAACAATGTGCCAAATTGATGCTAAATTAAATTCATGTTAAAAATGAATTATTGATTATGTAATTTGTACTAAAATAATATTTATAAGCCTTTACTTTTTTCTTACTCCTTGTCCATATAGTAAAGCTATAATCTGTTTCTAAATAAATACACAATACTTTTATATATATTAACAATATATTACTTTTACAATATATTACTATTAAGAATTAAAATTTATAACTCGTTCCCTTAGTAATTAAATTATTTTTGCCCAACAATTTAAAATGTACTAAAAAATCTTTTGCTGACTGAGATCACGTCAGAAATATTCTATTCTTTTGTCATAAAAATATAAAATGAAGAGTAATTTTAAGATTAATGTATGCATTATTATAAAACAAACACACTCAATTTAGATAGCACCGTTCTAATATGAGATTTCAAACGTTTTATTTAATAAAAAAATTTATTTTTATTTGAAAACATTGGATTTGTTATTCTTATCAAAAATAATGTTTTAGAATACTAAAAAATCTAAATAATAATTGATTATGAATACTAGACAAATCTTTCTTATACTTTTATATTCATATAAAATAACGAAAACTTTTAAAAATTTTCGTGTTCTTAAAGAAATTTTTAAAAAAGTAAAAAATTCTTACATTCAGGAGCTTTTCCTTGAAAACTAAAACTATCAATTACCGGAAAATGCCGATTTTCACGCTTTATTGAAAGGCTCCGAAATTATTGGTAAGTAAAATTTATTTGTTTAAAGAAAAATTCTGAAACCTGTTCTTTCCTAACAAGACGATAACTCGAGAATAGCAATATCGGAACCCGTCAAAAATTAAATTTGTTAAACGAAATTGATTTAAGAGTCACAGTTAGATGGTTTTCAATTGTATTTCAATTTTTCTTCAACAAAAATAGATCAATTTAAGCAATTATTATTTTTAATAGAAAATTTAATTTTTTAAGAGATCTGAAATCCAAAACAAACTTCCAGTCATCGAAATTTAATTATCAAAATTACTGCAATTAATATTTTATTATGTAAAATGCATTTGACCCTTTAAATTAAAAAAAAAAAAATAATCTTTTAATTAGATTTACTTTTACATGCAATGAAATTTAAAAATAAAATTCAATAATTATAAAAGAAAAACAAGGTAAAAATTTAGTTTTTTTTTTTGAACGCAAAATTTTTATTTGTTATGTTCTCAAATATATATATATATATATATATATAGTTAAAACTTTATAATATAAGAATTAAAATGGCATGCATAATATTAGTGTTTTCTTTCATTTCAAATAATATTTTAAATATAATTTGTATTGTAACAAATAATCATTAATTTTTATAATATAAAATATGAATATTTTTTATTACCATAAAAAAAAACAAAATTAAAATTTTATGAATTAAATGAGAAGCTATATATTTAAGTATTAGTATATAAGTATGGAAAAATTATGAAAAACAAAAATTTAATAGCAATTTGAACAAAAAAAAAATATAAATTAATTATAGGAAAACAAAAACAAAAGGGAGCAAAATATTATAAACTAAATTATAAAATTATAACACATGATTTATGAGCAAAGTTACTAAATCATTTTTATATTATGTCAATGCAAACTACTTGTTTAAACTCAACGTTTATGTAACGTCATAAAATATTACCAATTAATATGACATATTATGTTATATACGTGTATACAATTAGTTATATTCTGCAAGATATAGTTATATAGTCGTGTGATACTTATACATATGATTTATCAATGTGACATTATTTTTGTTGCAACGTACAAAACTATATTTATTTATATGTATATTATGAAAACGTCATCTACTCCATATTTTTTAATTTGCTATAATTTTAATCAATATTCCATAATATTAATTAAGAAATATCTACTATACATACTACGTTAAAAATATTTAATATTTGCACTTTTTACTCTACCAATACAGTCTTTTAGTTTCTTATAGGTAGGAAATATTTGAATTATTCATAATCAATTATTATTGTAATGTAAGTTTGTTTTTAAAACTGCAAACAAAATTTTCATAGTGCTAACATAAAATTATACATTTTTAAAATAAAATAAAATCTGGTTTAATTTTTTTTTTTGTAAAAAGAACAAAATATTTACTGTGTTACAAAATATTTTACCTATGTACGTGTTCTATGATGAGTTTTTACTGAACTACTATATAAATATATTTTGACAGTAATACGAAAGAGTAATCGTTTTTTAATAATGTTTGCAAAAATGCGATTGCTCTCTCCTATCTCACCGTTTAGTACAATAAAAAAAAAAAAGAGATCTACAAAAATATTTATTCAATGAATTTTTTTTTTGGAATCACACTAAGTCCTGGAGTTACGACATTGTTTGGAACCAAAAATTTAAGCCACATCTCGCATATTATGTTTTCGTATATTAAAAATAATATACGAAAACAAAAATTCTGTTTTTCAGTCTTTATTAATTAAAAAATATAAAAACTAAACATAAAAACGATTATATTTAATTTAAACCAAATTATAAGAAAGAAACCAAAATCAATAACATTTTAACAAAAAACAAACTAAATAAACAACATTTGTAGTTGCGTACATAACTGGGTACGCATCCAATCAGAAATTAAATTAAATAATTTAAAACTTAAATAAACTTTAAGATATTAAGTGTAATCTCTGCAAATTTATATCAAATTTTTCGAAAATTTCCACAGCTTTGCTTATATGTGTAGTCTAACGTTACTCAATAAGTTTCAAAATTTAAGTGTCCAAACAATTTTGTTCGATTCACGATTAGAATTCAAAATTTTTTAATGTCATATTACGAAATTTATGCCGCAAGGCGAAAAAAAATAACTTGAATAGTCGTAACAAGAAATGTTGTATTAAGAGACGTCGTCTCTCGAGAAATTAGTGTAATTGCATTAATCGTTAAATATATTTTTTACGAAAACTGCTTCATGGAGAACAACTATATTGTTAATATTAAAAATAAATTTAGGATTATTTACGAATTTAATTTAAATTAATTAAATTTAATAAATTTTATTGAAATATTTTCACTATAAATAAACTTTTTGTATAATTTTTTTCTCATAATAGTTAAATAAAGAAAACGTTAAAACGTTTTAAAAATTTTGACACATCGTACATTAAGTAATTTTAAAATGTTTTACTATGACTGCAGTTCCTGCCCAAAATATTTATGTAACAATAATATTTAAAATTTAAAATTAAGAGGATTTGCGATAATTCAGACATACACTGAAAATTCTAAATTAAATTTTAAAAAGTCTTTTCACACATACGTGCAAATCTGCAAAAACTGAATATTAATGTTGCAGATTTGTAATATATTCGAGAAATTTTTTTAATACTGAACATTTTTCTATTATGCAGAAGTTATAAAGAACTAACTTTCGAACGTGTTATTTTTTGCAGATTTTGCAGTTTAGCAACTTTCGAACTATTTATTTACTTTTTATTAAGACGTAAATTAGAATTGAATTATCAAAAATCCCTTAATAAAGAAGAAGTTCTGGTCAATTTTTTTTGTCTTTTTTTTACAAAATATTGTGATAAGAATAAAATGTATTCCATTTTTTTTTAAATAATGGGTGATTTTGTTTCAGTTTTTTTGTTTTTTTTTCTTTTCAGTTTTTGACAACTCTAGTACACGTAAGTTATTGTCAATGCTTAATTAATTCGGTTTGATTTAAAAAGCTTTCAAAATATTCATTTTTAAAGTAATTCATTCATTCAAAAAATTTCGAGTAATACGTCATTTTACGTTTCATTTTATTTAATTTTTAAATAAAATTAATAAATTTAAAAAAAATATTTTAAATAAATTTAATACGTTATTTTACATAAAATTTTATTTTATCATTTTACGTTGTGGGTTTTGTAAATTGTATTAATGATACAAAATTTTATAAATTGACCATATTGAA